GTTTTCGAAATTTTATTTAGGTTATAACAATGTGCTATCAAGTTTGTTTGGAGACATTTATTTTGTTTCTATTTATAACATCATTTGCAACAGGTGTTGACGAAACTATTAAAACTAATTCAAAGTCGGATGAAACCGCAGCTATTCTTGATAAAGCAGTTTCATTCACTGATGAAACATCTACAGATATTTATGAAGCAACTACCATCGATTTAAATGATACTAATGTTACTGAAAATTCTTCAATAATCAAAATCACTATGACAAGTGATACTATTCGTACTACACCGATTAAAATTACCTCCACTACAACAACAAGTCGAACAACGACACAAACAAATTCAGCAATTAAACATTCTGTACTGCATGTATTTGTCTTCATGATCATTGTTCAAATCATCAAATAAGAAACTTAGTTGTCAAAGACACAAAAATCTATAGTTGTTTTGCGAATCATTTTTTGTAAAATGAATAGTTATTTATTCATCTATTTACTTCTAAGAATTTTAATTTTTACTGTAACAAATAAAAAGCCAACAAACCAACAAAAGAAAACTGAATGAAGATAATATAGTTTTATATTTTAGAAAAAAAAAAACAAGAAAAAAAGAAAACCATTGACTAGAAATATACAAATAGATATTGCCGTCAACGTATAAAAGAAAAAATAGATAAAGCACGATGGAGATCACTGTTAAAGAAATTTTCACTGTATAATCATTCTTTATTAAGATAATAATTTAACATAATTTCCTGGAAATGTTCCAAATTTCATTTTATTATCATGATTTGATTTTTCCATCATTCCACAATACCAACCATCATCACACATTTCAATTATATTAATTATATCTCCAACATGAATTTCAAGTTCATCTGGATTTTGTGGTATATAATCATAAAGTACTTGACATCTTAAAATACAACAAAAGATAAAAATATTTAAATCAAAATTCATCATAAATAGTAATTAGATATAAAATTAAATTTACTTTCGCATAGGTGGTAATGATAAGTCTGGAATAATACTTATTTGTTCAACAGATGGTTCTTCTAAATCAGGAGAATTTTGTTTTGATATTTGAGCACGTTCATTTTGATGAGATTTTTTTGAGAAAATATCTAGACAATAAATATTTTGCATTAAGACTTGAAATGCTTTGTTAAAATATGAATTGAAATTTTTTTGTTTATTGATATTAGTGAAAACAGTTATGTAATGATATAGACGCAACCCTAGTATATGTACTCTGTAGTCATATTTTTCCGAGTCCAAAATTCTTTTTTTGACCGACCTATATAGCGATTCCAAAAAGTGATCATATAAGTTTAAGTTCGGTTTTTTTCCGTAGTAGTAACTTGCGTAAAGAATTAAAATAGTGGTTTTAATAAGAGAAAATTGTTTTCAACAAGATTTTGAGAGAAATAAAATTTTCGTAATATTCCATATCTCTAGAAAACATCAAACTCTAGTTTTTTTTTAGTTCTTAGAGCCCAAAAATAAAGACGTTTTTCGATTACATGAAACGATAGAGTAATTCTCTACAAAACCACATGTCTTCGACTATTCCACAATATATTTTTGATTGAATTACATCAATTTTAAGAGAAGCTCAAAAGTCTTTTTTATCCAGTTTCTGTTGAGAAAATGCCGAAAAAAACTAGTTTTGGGTTTTTTAATATTTATTTAGATTCTTTATGTAAGTTATCATGATGAAAAAGAATCAAAATAAAATTTGTACGATCAATTTTTGAAACCACTATATACTCGCTTCTGTGCTATTCATAAATGAGAATTTCTCTCTGATTCTTTTACTCTTGAAACCTATTTATGAATCTATAAATTAGTGTATTTTTATTCATTACTTGACATTTGAAGTAACTACATCTTGCTATGTAAGAGTAAAAGTGCTTGACTACTTTAATGATATAGTTCCAAACATTGACTCTGAAAAAATTCTTTTTTTCGATATTCTGTTATTAGTATATCCCAAGGTCTTAGTTGGATACGCTATTGAGAATTGTCTCAATAGATGTCCAGTCTTTATGTGTGTCCTATTCGAGACATTTAATCATTGAATCAAAATAGAATTCATCATTATCATAGAGTAAAATTGCTTTGTCTTTTTTTTTTACCTGCTGGTTCTTTTAATGTTTCAACATAAGCTGCAGGAAAAATGCCTTCAATATGATTGAGACGTCCTTCATACCAATAATTATCAATTTTTCGTAATAGAATTACTTTATCACCCTAGATAAATTAATCTTGATAGTAGTTTATTATAGAATTACATTTCTGACCTTTCGTAATTGTAACTCAAATGTTTGTTGTGGTATAAAATCATATTTCACAATAGCTTCACCTTCAATATCATAATCATATTCATATTCATTTAAATAATCATCTTGTTTATTGATTTCAATTGGAAATAATTCAACATGATTAAGTGGAAATATACCGATTGAATCTTGATATTCACCTTCAAGCCAATCATCATTAATACGCCTTAGGACAAGAAGTATATCGCCTTTTTTAAAAGACAATTCTCTTTAAAAACAAAACAAACAAATAAATCAAATTTTATATATTTAAAAGAAATTATATAAAACAAAAACTAAACTCTACCTGCTGGTCTGTGCATAAAAACTATGAAGTGCAAGTGCTTTAAAAATAGGTTGAAATTTTAATCGTCTTTAAAAATTAACAAAACTAAATCAAAAACAATACTTAGTTCAAATATATTAACTTACATTTGGATTTTATTTTCTGGTTTTTGTTGATTTGCATCAATAAAATCATGATGATCTATCCAATCCTAAAAATTGAAAAGACAAAAAAAGAACTTGATTGAACACATAAATCTTATTCATCGTACATACCTGTTGTTCAATATGTCCATTAGTATCATTATTTTGTTTTTCTAGAAAAATAGAAAAAAGAAATATCTTTTTTTTCATTTAAAAAACTTTCATTAAAAACTAAAATTTGTTAGTATATTAAAACATTAATCTTATTCGATTTTCTACATAAATACAACTTACGTTTATGATAAAAGTTCGAAAAAAATGATGTATAATGAAAACGATTAGTGTTAAAACCATGTAAATTTTCTATAGAATTATTTCCTTTCTATTTGTATTCGTTATTATACATATTTAAAAAACTACTTACGATTCGGTTTTTTAACATGCCATCGAAATTCTGAAAATTAATAAATTCTATTATATTTATATCTTTACAATCATAATAACCATATTTTATTGATCTTTTACAAACAATATCCCCCAAAATTATTTAACTGAGTTTATTTTTAATTTTTTTTCGTGTTGTCATCAAGGCTAAGAAAAATTGAAAAAGTGATTTGAGTAAAGAATTTTATTTTCAACAAGAACTTTATGAAACACGATCTAAAAGGAGTCTTGAGATATATAGGGTAGAAATTTACACCCGCACCCACATACTGTGATAGACACTAATAGGAAACTATGACAGACGTTGTTGATATACGATCGTAGACTGTATATAAATAGCACCTCGTTATGGTAATTGCATTTATGAAAGATCAAGGAACAGTGGTGAATGAAAAAGTGTCCTAGAATATCTCGAATAAAATAATCTTACTATGATTGGCAACAGCAGCCACATCGTGTTTTACAGTTTAATCCCAAATGGGTTATGCTGGTTTGAAAAGAAAAATGATTGCTAGTTTTCCGAAAATAGAATTTCTGAAAAAACTAAAACCAAGTTTTCAATTTCTAGAATCTGCAATCACAATACTCTCTATATTATCTATAATGATAGAGCAAATCATTTTCTAAAGAATGTAATACATTCCAGCTGTCTATGACGTTTTGTTTTTCTGTTACTTCATATGGAAACTTCATTTCTATCTCTTCCATAAACTTAATTTATCTTCCAAGGGAATCTTTCCAGGTGTTAGATTGATTTTCAACCGAGACGACATTCATTTGATGAGTGTTAGTGATTAATAGAAAAGTCTAGAATGGTTTAGTTTTATTGACCTTCGTTTTTCAGATATGGAAATACACACTGACTTTTTTCAACAAAAAACTATGTTCTTCCTCAGGTTACATGGAAAATTGACTTTTGAGTTTTGATTTTCAAACTTTACATGAACAAAGTTTTTTATGAATTTAGTTCATTGGATAAGTTTTAGCTTTTGTAATATTTTCTTTCTTCAGATATAAATATATACATAAAATTAGCTTTTATACACGGGAGAGTTTCTAATATTCAATATCTCAAGATAGAAGATACTAGAAAAGTTACAACTTACTCAACAGATAATTCAAATAATATTGTGATTACAAATTCTATGAGCTAAAAAACTTGAGTTTGGTATTTTTCATAAATCCTATCTTTGAAAGACTAACGATTATTTTTATCTTTAAAAAATTCTTGTTAGAAAATAAAATTCTATATTCAAATTACTATTTTGATTCTTCTTAACGATAAAAAAAAACAACTAAACTAAACTTAATCGAATAATTTTTGAGAGTCATTATATTAATTATTTATTTAATATATTTTTCTTTTGCTTGAAAAATATTTTTCCTCATAGCAATTTAATGATGATTTATAAATTGTATAATCATTTTTAATAACCTTAATGTCATATACGTGATCAATCAAATACGTATTTTATTTTTTCTTCTTATCTAAAGTCCATATCTATCTCAATGAGGTAGTTGACTATGTTCATACACTATGTTGATTTATGATTGATTATAATCTATCGTGACAACGAAAAACATAAATAAATGAAGAGAAGAAAAAAAATCATGTTTACATCTATTCTGCTTGAGAAAAAAAAATAATGGATATAACGATCATCAAATATAGAGAAATAAAAAAAAAACAACATCATGTACGACAAACTGTCTCAATAACTGTAAGAACGTCAAAAGAAAAATAATAGGTCATGTCGAAAGAAAAAAACAAAATTTTTTTTTTTCTTCTTAATGAATATATATATATCTCAAGGTGAAGTCTTGTTCGTTGGCTTATTATTTATAAAAACTTCATCTGTTGATGAAGTACTCATTTGTTGATTATAATTAGTAGATGAAGATTGTTGAGGATTATCCCACTCCTCAACAAGTAAACGTGGTGTAATTTTATGTTCACGTTGAATTTTAGTACGTAAAGGACGATAATCAAAGGATTTTGATTGAGGTAAATAATTATCAAAATAAATATTATCACGATTGGGACTAGTGTCTATCGTACGAGAATGATATTGATCATGAGTTGATGTTGATGGAATGTTTTTTTCAAATTGTAAATTTATTGAAGATGATGGTTGATGTTTATTCTCATGTTGATCATAAGATGTATGAGAATTATTTGTTGTTATAAGTTCATTTATTGGCAATGAATAAACTTCACTTGGTATTGTTTCACCATCACGAAATACTTCAATATAATTTCGAGAATAACTACCACCACTATATTCAGGTATTATACATGAAGTAACATAAGATACAGGTGGTGGGGAAGGATAATGAGCATGGCCTTGTAAATGATTATGACAACAAGCATTTGGTAAAAATGTTCCTCGATTATGATGATGATGAGTATATACGGGTACATAATCATATGGCTGATGTATTGGTGAATGTTCACTCATTGATGAATCTGTGTCGTAATTAATTGAACCAATTGGTACATATTGTTGTTCTAATTGGTATGATAGTGGTAGCCAACTTAAAGAAACATTTTGTTGATTTGGATGATGATGTTTACGTTGTTGTTGAGGAGGAGTTTTTATTGTATGTGGATGTTCAATTGTTATTGGTATATTATATACTGTTGGTGATGGTTGTATATTTAATTTTGATACATTTTTATTTCGTAACTCTAAATCTTCTTTTGTTGTTGATGTTGTTATTATTGCTGTTGGCCATCTTAATTCATCTTGTTTTGTTATACGTTGTTCATGTTCAGGTACTCGACGAAGATTTTGTTCATCATCTTTAGTTATTTGTCGATTAGATATATATGTTGGTTCAATATTTCGATATGAGAATTGTGCCAATGGTTCTAGTGTAATTTGATCTAATCGTGGTGAATAGTTATTTAACTGTGATGTTTGTTTATTTCGTAATTCTAAATCTTCTTTTGTTATTGTTTTTGTTGTTGGTAGTCTTGATTCAACTTGCCTTGTTATACGTTGTTCATGTTCAGGTATTCGACGAAGATTTTGCTCATCATTTCTAGTTATTTGTTGATTATAAATATATGTTGGTTCAGTACGTCGATATGAAGATTGTTGCGATGGTTCTGCTAGACTTTCACGTAATTGTGATGGTGGTGTTGATGATAGTTTAAGTACATTTCCGTGTTCATCAAGATATCGATAAAGAACACGAGTTTTATTCGGGTCTGGTTGTAACTGTATTTCGGATTGATTAGAATTCATCAATGATTGTTGTGGTTGTTGTTTATAAACAAGTTCATTTATAACACTAGGTTTCATTGGATTTTGTAATTGTTTTTTTGGTGTAGAACCTAATAAAGTTAAAGCAGCTGCATGATGTAGAAAAATTTCATGGATAACGTTGGCAAGGTTATAGACTGTCTCATTGTTAGCCTTGGTGTCCAGTTGTTGAGACATTGAAATGCTATTATCTGTTGATCTTATTGATGGAACAGAAGACAATTGAGATAATCGAGAAGTAACTTTGTATTTGGCTAAGTAAGAATCTGGTATATAAAGTGAAATAGGACTATTAATAATAGCATCAATAACTTGATAATCGACATTTTTTGGTAATTTTTTTGATTTAGTTTTAGTTTTAGATTTTTTCTTATTTACTTTGTCTTGTTTTTTCTTTTCTTTTGAATTAAGTAAAGGAGTTTGTTCAGTTGACATTGAAATCTGTTCGATGTTTGATTCTGTGAAATGTGTTTGTTTACGTATTAATCGTGTATTCACAGGTTCATTCGTTGGTGTTTTTAATATTTTTTTTGCTGTTGAATTTTTAAATAAATTCACATATTCAGAATTTCGTATATTTGATAGAATATCATTAAAACGTTTATGTAAAAGACTATTTTGTTTATCATCATTTGATCCTATTGGATTATCAAGTAAAGCATCAATAACAGTAAATTCACTTGTTACTGTCTTATTAGTTTTATCAGTAATAATAGTATTCGATGGATTTGTTGTTGTCGTTGTTGTTGTATCAGTTAAAGTTGTATTCGTTTGTGATGCTAAACGTTTATATTGATTTGTTGTTGTTACATTATGTTCTTGAAGTTCACGCGCTAATTGTTGAATAGCTTGATGATCATCACTTAAACGATTAACTTGTGCTTGGACTTGATCAAGGTCAGTAGCACCAGTTGTTTTTGTTATAGGAAACATTGGTAAACGACGAATTCCATCATTAGTTGAATCTGAAAATTCTTGATATTTTTCTGTACGTTCAATAATTTGTGGTTGTTGAGAATCATTTTTAATTGTTTTAATATTCGTTTCAGTCGATTGTTCAAGTATATGATTAGTTAATAATGGTGTTTGTTTAACTAGTGTTGGTAATGTTTCTGTAGTTGTGGTTATTGTTGTAACTATTTTTTGCATTGGCTGTTGTTGCTGTTGTTGTTGTTGTTGTTGTGATTCATGTGGTGGATAATCATATGTTGATATTGGTAATTGAGATTGTTTGTCAAAAAAGTCTCGTTTTGTATTCGATAACGACCTTGAATAATTTGATTGATCAACATTTGATATTTGACTCGATTGTTGTGGTTGCTCCAATATTTGTCGAACATTTTGATAATGATGTTGTAATGGTCGATTATATGTATCTGTACCTTCTATACGTATTGGTCCTGTATCACCATCTACTCGACGTTTAACTGCACGAGCAGATGTGCCCATTAATGGTGGAGTATAAGTACGTGTCCAACTTAAATTTGAAGTTGTATTCATTGGATTAAGATGATTATCCACAATACGAACAAGTTCTCCAATGCTGTCATTAGTTGTAGCACCTTTGTCGTTATTCATCATTTGATTTAAAAGAATTGATGATGAAAAAGACAGAGGTTATTATTCCTTCTTTTTTTATTTGTCAATACGGTTGATCGCACAATTATGATGAATGACAGGCGCTCATCCGAATCCTCGTGATATGATGATGATGATGATGATGATGATGGTCCAGCGTATAATTATGTTATGTGTGTATGTTCTACCTGGACGTTCGTCGTCTACGATTTTTTTTTCAATGAGTCGTTAGAATAAAAAGGAAAGAAAGCGAAACAAGAAGAAATAACGTCGTGTGTCTATAGTATGTCTATAAGTGAAGTGTTGTAAACTGGATAAATATGGAATAGACAAGGATGATAATCGATGTTGATCTTAGTATAATTTGTGGAGGTATGCGTCAAGCATATACGTACTAGTTTTTCTATCTTTCCTTCGTTAATTACTCGTCAGTTTTCTGTTTCTCTCTTTCTCTCGCTCTCTCCTTCGTTCTGTCATACATATAAAAAAAACACATGATTCTCATAACTATCGTCTTTACATTGCGACACCAATAGAGTTGCAGACGGTAAAGAGTAATAAGTGGCCAAGAAAAAAAAGACAAAAAGAGGAAAAACAACCAGTAAAAATCTAAGTAAATGTACAATAATGTTGATATGTAGCCATGGAAGTATTTCAGTTTGGATTTCTTTTCTTTCATTCGTTTTGTCTATCGGCATCTTTATGTAAATAAATAAGTGTTCTTTCGCATTCATGTGTATGTTGTTGATGGCAATACTTTGTCGATATTCATTCACATATGCAGAAAGAATTTTCATAAAAGCATTTTGTTTGAATTCGTACTTTTCGATCTTATGGTAGTTATAATCACAATGATGAAGAACATGTGCATATATGTATGCACGTGTTTTATCCTACTTTCATATGTTACACAAAACAATAAAAGTATGAGAAGCATAAAAGAATGAAATATTATACTCGTGATGAAAGAAATGATTTACTGAATAAAAAAAAAACAATGATCAATTATTATGTCTACTAATAAGAAGGTTTTATTTGTTTTATACAAAATCAATGTGAGACATTAAAATAGAAACCAAACTGTACGTATCGTATCAAGGTTATAAAAAAAAAGTGACATAATATAGCACAACCATAAGTATTAATGATCATTTTTTAATTCGTCTCTAAAAACTCGACCACTAACTTATTTGTCATTATTGATTTTCGATTAGTCGTTTTGTGCCGCTCTATGTATTTTCTAGGTCAAATTTATTGATGCGATTTACACAAGACATATTTCTATAATCTCTTCGCCTATATGAATCATGTGGACATCATGACACAACAAATACTTGATCATTAAGATTGAGAAACAAAATTCTTTTATCTCTCAACGTTACTATGCATTAACACTTTTTTGTCTCTTTTTTTTTTAATCATATAAAAAAAACATAGCACATTATTTTAAAAGAATATATATGTAACCATGTACTTGATGATGTTATTATTCAATAGTTTCTTTGCCTTCTACATAAGCCTTTCAAGATATAAACTTGAGAAGAAAAAAAAAGGAGAAAGAAAAATATATTAAAAAATGTCGTGTATGGTCTAAGCAATTAAAAATGAAAAAAAAAAAAACCAAGGCCATCTAGTTCAATGTATGCTTGTTACAATATTTTAATGAGAATACAAGAAAATGAGATTTTGATAAATTATGTCATTTGCTTTAGATATTTCACATACAACACAAATAAAAAGTAGTCTTTTTTTTTGAATAAACATTTGTAGATGTTAAAATAATATAGGACAAGACTATAAACTCTTATGTATGGTAAACTCTTCAACCTTATTATTAATCGAATTATATGAACGTATGTCAAATATAAATTTACATTTACAAGTTTCTGTTTGATTTGCGTTAATAAAAAAAAGACGTTTTATTTGATTTTCTTATGCTTGTACTATACAATTTAGTTTTGTACGAATCCAAATATATGTTCTTTTCTTTTTTGATTCTGATAAAAGATAATTTCTATGCCTACCTCGATTAATATTAGAAAATTTTTGTAAACCATTTGATGACATATCTCCACCACGTGATATACGTTTATAAATTGATTTTTGTTCATTATCTGATGTTGGTATACTATAAATATATACATATATAATAATCATTCAAAACAATCTGACGACTCACTCATTCGAATTCGATCGTAAATTAGTGTTTATGAAGTTTGTTGTAGGTGCATCATTATTCTATATAAGAAAAAAAAAATGAATTAGATTGTTAATAAGTAGATGTATAGATGAAGTTATTTTATTATATATTAGATACATTGTTAAGTGTTCTATGAGGGCTACACTTGAAATATGAATTCTTATGTGATAATTAGTAACATTAACATATCGAAGGACACACTTAAAATTGATGGTGCATTGAAAGTGCTTTTAACGGGAAGTTTATTTGCAAATGATAATTACAAAGAAATTCAATAAAGATAACATCAAAATGCATTAGGTGTTGATATGAACAAGATAGTCTCAGTCTCAACCCAACTGGAACCAGTACCTAATTCCGGTTTTTGACCGAGATCGAGATCAAAGAGAATTGATTAATTATAGACTTTTAACAATCAGACACTACTCTAAAAAAATTTCTATTGCTAGGTTTTTGAATGGCAAATTGAAAAATTCTAAATTTTATCTCTGAAGTTATGCTTCTTACTTGAATATTTCGTATGTGTGCATGACCTTGAATGTGATATAACATGCTTAAGGCAAAAATCTAGCAGATGATTTCTAAAGCACTTATTTTCTGTATTTTTCTATGTAAAATGTTGATAATGTTGAATAATAACAAAAATATGTTACTTTTGATCTGACAATTGAGATTTTTTTAAGAAAACGAGACATATTTGGTTGAAATGAACGTTCTTCTATGCCAAACTAACAAATTTTAAATATTGATGGCTCTTGGCGTATATGAACAGGAAGTATTCGAAATATAAGAGATGTACAATTTAGATAGAAAAGAACTATTTATATTCAATTTTGTCTTAACCAGTGGACTGATTTTGCCTGAAGGGTACGTTCAAGATGTTGCTAAAAGTTTTTAAAACATTATTACCGTATTAATGTAAACGTGTTTTCATAATAGAATTCTTATTGAATTAAGAAGTGGTCAGCTTTTATTTGCGTGAATTTTTAAATTATTGATAATATTGATTCTATTTAAATTAAGAAAAGCACATGATGTCATATGATATTTATATACTTTACTATGAATAAAGATGAAAATATTCAATCTTATAAGAATAATAAAAGAACTTTTGTATACAGTGCAAACTATGAATATTGACATTTCATAATTATTAATTGAACAATAGATATGTTAAAATCAGAGCAGAAATATTCTTTGATTTCTTCATTTTGTCAATCATTTGACTTGGTTCTTCAATCTGTTGGAACTCAGATGTTTACTAAAAGTTTTTACATGGTGGTACAGATCAAAAATGGGATTGGCGCAGATATTTTAGAATTTAAACCGAACTGAACTCACCTTTGATATAGAGAATAAATTATGGCTTGCATAATGGGTATATATGAAGTATTTACGACTACTCATATTCAAGGTCATGACTGAACAAAAGACGCATTTTGTCGCTGAATATAGTAAGTTAATCCTTCAGAACAAACTAACATGCAACTAACCTTTGGTTCTGCTAATATCATTCTATACAACTAATTAGAACAGTTTAATTTTACTTAAAATCGAAAATATGAAATACTTGTTATTATCTTGTATTTTTCTTAATTAGCAACTTGTACAACAATATTGGTAGATAAGATCAAGTTCTTTTACATTCCTTGGCCGAATTTTTTTGAAAAATAAGTAATTTCTATACAAGAATCAGCTACTAACTAGATCAGAAGATACTGTTCCAGTCAATTTTAACTACGAACTTCGTACGTGTGAATTATTTCTCAAATATGAACTCAATCCATTTTTACTAAAATACTACTAAATTATGAAAAATTCGTGAAAAATCAGCCCACTAAACAAGAAAAACCTGAGTACAAATACTTCCCTTGTATCTGATATGTATTACTCTTACAATTCATCTATCTCCTTATCGTGCAGGTCAAGTGCAAGCAATATGTGAAGTGCATTAGTTTGATGATAAGAATTTTCATTTATACTAAACACATTTAATATTTTTAATTTACAATAGAAATTCTGTCATTGCCAGTAAAAAATTTTTTCATTTCCTTTTTTTTTCTTACTAATTTAAATTGTTCTGATGAAGATGAACTAACAGGTGATGAATAATGATCTTCAAAACGTATAACTTTTTCTTTATGATCATTAGTTCGTTTTGATATTGTTCGTTGATCACTAAAATTTACAAATAAAATTAATATTTAGATTTTATTAATAATTATTTACTTTTGATTTGAACTTGATATACGTAAAGTCGATGAAGAATTTTTTTCTATAGAAAATTTATTATTTATTTATTCATATTCACATTAAATCTTACCATCATTTTTATCAAGTGTTTGTGATGCTTTTTTTCTTATGTAATCTTCCATAAGATCGACATCACCGCTGAACTCATCAGGAAATGTATATGTTGGTGTATAAGGATTTTGTTGATGTTCTAAACATTAAAACAATTCATCTAACAAAACATGACATATGTTTATTTGAACAATAATAATAATAATAATAATAATAATAATAGACCTCGAGCTCAATTGAATATCAAAGCAGACAAGAACACAGATATACAACATCATTCACTATCAACAGTATGAGAGTTGTACATCCCTTTATATGTATATATAAATGTACTGAACGTGATAGTCAAGTGGACAAAAAAAAAGCAATTAATACCTACCATAGACACTTATAGAGACTATTTCGGTAGCCATTTCGAATTCATCACATGAGAGCAAAAATAAATGAGAGAAGAGTTTTTGAACAGTTCATTATAAAATTTTTTATAATTGTAATAAAC